GAAGAAATCAGGGACAAGGAGGTCGGAGGGGTCAGTAAAAAGAAGTTGTATATTGTCATTATCATTATAACTATGATTATTATTTCTATTCGTTATTCTTAATCATTATCATCACTATGATTATTTATGTTGTATAATGATATCAAATAGATACACAACATATAACAGTAGAATATCATATGTATAATATTGTGTGTATATATATGTGTGTGTGTTCCAGAATAGAATTGAAAATGTCAGAAACCAAACACAAGCAACTGCAACGAGCTATCGGCACTTTTGCTATGCAGTTGGCTTGTGCGGCTGGGTTTCTGTCAGATGCCAAACGCGAGCCAGGTAGAGCTGGCTGAGATTGGCAGTTTCCTGGCGGCCTCTGTCTTCTTGGCCAAAACTCCAGCTATTGTTCTGGACCTACCGGAACAAAGTGTGCAGGACACCAAAGAGCAGATGCGATTCCGTGCTGTGTGTGACGAACGGATCACTTTGCCCCTGGAGGCGTTCAGGCAGCTCCCGGACATCTTTGAGTTGCTGTCCACAACTATGGGGGCGCACAGCATGGTCCAAGTCCAGGTTGCCTGGCGATGCAACTGCGAGCTCTGGTGGGTGGCGCTGGTCCCCCATGACAAGGCGGTAGAGCCGGCAACAAGGACTCCCATCCTTCAATCGTGAAGGCGCCCGTGCTCTGGTCTACCCGGATGGTCAACGTTTCCTTCTCGCGAGTCCGAATGGTCTCAGTGGAGTCCTGTCCAGCCGATGGAACAAAACCTGGCGGGGCTTTGGCGCCATGAGCTGCCACACCCCCACCAGACTTCGACTCCAACCCCAACTCCGACATCACCTTCTCCATCTCCATGAGTTGGTTTGCCAGAGTCTCCTTGCTGATGGTGGGATCACTCACAAACTCAGGTTCGATTTCGGCCGGCGCGGCCTCAGCTGTTGTCATGTCCAGCAGCATGTAGTCCTCCCCATCAGCAACATCCGTTCCCACAAGAGAAAAGGAGGCAATCGTGCCCTGCTCACTCGCCACTGGGCTCGAAGAAGCCATGGCCAGAGGGAAATTCGGAATTTTTCGAGAGCTTAATCACAAGGGGAGGACTTGAGCCAAAATGGCATAGCCATTTTGGCAACTATATCGTCAACACATTACTTGCTCTCCACAAGTTCCAAGCAAAGAAACAAATACGTGGCTCAATGCTAGGGTGCTTGTGGACCGACATAATCTGCTGTTTTCAAGCTTCAACCATCCAAAAGTGCAAGTCAATATTGCGATCTAAAGTCCATGATGTGTATTGTATTGTCCAAGTAAAGCTGCTGGAGATGTCAAGAAGCATCGAGATATTGTCAACAGAATGTGGTGAAAAAAATGAGTTTGTGAGGATGTATGTGACCAAACAAAACGGGCACAAAACATATTGATATACACAATCTAGAAACTGGGAGACAAAAACTGAAGATTTGGTCCAGTTTCTCCAACCTTTGGGGATTCTCATCTGCTTACAATCATCCAAATCTGGACTCAAATTTGCACTTCCATGCATCTGGAACAACTTGCAAGGCTGGTCGAGAGTTCCAAGCCACTTCAAATACAGCCGGGAACAACCGCACGATGTGAAAATATGTGGAATAATTCGGGATGGAACATTTTTTAAAAAAATAACAATATTACAAAATCCTTGAAACCACCTACCAGTACAACTCTGAAATTCGCCGGAGTTCACATTTTCCCAGATCTTCAATCCGTGTGCGACCGGGAACCCGACAGGTGAAAGAGTCGCTCGTCAATCCGCGCGAATTTCATGGCATCCTCCTGGGTGATCCTGTCGATTCTGAACACGATTGGTTTCGGAGGTGGTTACCAGGTTTATGCGTATGTCTAGTATGCCTGTATAGGTGTGTATATATATAGTATGGATACAGGGATACATCAATGTATATGTATATGTATGTGTATGTGTATGTATATATATATATATATCGTATATATACACGGATATATATATTATATATACACATGATTCTACAGGTGTATGTATACTATCGCTATTGACTTTTGTCCGTGTGACGCAAATCGTGACGCAAATCCCGAAAAATCGTTGGTCCCCACCTCCCTTTATCCAGCATACGCTGCCGGCCCAGCTCATAGAAAACCTCAGCCGAGTTGCGACCTCTGGGAGGTGAGTGATGTTCAATGGCCATGTTAAATCACCAGAGGGGAATCATGGTGATAACATGTGATAACCCTCATAAGTTATGATATAGCATGATTCATAACCCCCCAAAAATACTATTAGTCACACGTCAGTGCCAGTTACACATCGCAGTCACGGGTCCCCCTGCGCGCAGCTGATCATGTGCGGCATTGATCCTGAGATGGGTGGATAAACATCCAAGGGTGCCCAGTGATCCAATGTCTATCCATAGAATCTATTCCGGAATAGAAGGAACAGGGAACCCTAGTCAATAATTCTAGCATATTCTAGCTGTTAGGAAAATTGAGTTCTATCTACTTGAAAAACCACAACAAGCAGAGCTATAAGCTTTAAGCCACTGGACGGTCACCCAGCTGCCAAGCGTCTGTTGAAGCATGGCCACCCTCCTCCTCTTGGCCTGTTGAACCATCAGCTGATCAAATCAGCCCGCCATCCAATCCAAAGGCTTCTCCCATCAAAACAGACCATCATCTAGTATCCACTACAGCAAATGTTTCTCATCTTCTCCAAAGAGTAGAGTATCAACCAGATATCACTAGAGATGGAGGTGTCCTAAAATGGTGGTACCACCAAATTGATGGTTTATTTCATGGAAAATCCTATTCAAATGGGTGATTTGGGGGTACCCACATTTTAGGAAACCTCCATATGACTAGATCATACAGGAGGGCACCTTGGTGAAACGTCGTTGCCAGCAGCCCTCCTCTCCTGGGTCACAGCGACAAAAATACAGTGGTGATGGACCCCCATCCCAAATCTCAACAATCGGATGCTGATGCAAAAATCTATATATCTAGGTGGTCTATCTATGTATTATGTATGTATGTATATTTGTATATGTGTGCATATATAAATATGTATTTGTATGTAAACGTATGTGCATGTGCTTATCTACGTATATCCTATGTATATCTAAATATGTATATCTAATATCGATGTGTATCTATGTAAATCCTATGCATATCTATATATGCATATCTATATATGCATATCTAATATCCATGTATATCTATGTGTATCAATATATGTATATCTATATATGTAGGTCTATATATGCATATCTAGATATGTATACCTAATATCTATGTGTATCTATGTATATCTAACATCTATGTATATCTATGTATATCTATGTATATCTATGTATATCTATGTATATCTATGTATATCCTATCTATATCCTATGTATATCTATGTATATCCTATTTATATCCTATGTATATCTATATATGTATATCTAATATCTATGTACATCTATGTATATCTATGTATGTATATCGTATCTCCAATGTCTATGTATATCTATGTATATCCTATGTATATCTATATATGTACATCTAGTATCTATGTATGTATATCTATGTATATCTTTGTATATCTATGTATATCCTGTGTATAATTATACACATATGTACATCTAGCATCTATGTATGTCTATGTATATCTATGTATATCTATGTATATCTATGTTTTTATGTATATCTATGTATATATCCTATGTATATCTATATATATGTACATCATATCTCTATTGTCTATATTTATCTTTGTATATCCTAAGTATATATATAATATCTCTAATGTCTATGTATATCGTATATCTATGTATATCCTATGTATATCTATATATGTATATCTAATGTCTATGCATATCTATGTATGTCCTATGTATATCTATAAATGTACATCTAGTATCTATGTATATCTATGCATATCTATGCATATCTATGTATATCTATGTATATCTATGTATATCTTTGTATATCTATGGATATCCTGTGTATATCTATGTATATCCTATGTATCTATATATATATATGTATATGTACTATCTATGTATATCTATGTATATCTTATCTATATCTATGCAAGATTATGCAAGTTGCTTGGCGAATCATCATATCACCAAGCTGTCCACTGTTCAGCCAAGCCAGCTAAGCCTCTGGCCTGACCTGTCGTGCTTCAACACCCCTCCCTGGCCAGAGCTGGCGACCAGCGGCCCAGCATTCCAAGATTTGGTGCGCAACGGTTCTCCGAATGCATTCCCAAAGCTTCAGTCACCTTTTTCATCTGTTTCATTCTGTTTCCAAGTCCATCAATTTCATTTAATTTCCATCAAAAATCTTCTAAAATATTCTAAAGTCAATGACTCTCAATGATTCCCATCTCATTCTCATCTTTGTCATCTTTTCCCCAACAAATCCCCACCTGAGAGAAGCATCTGACAAAGCATCGCCGCGGTGCTTCGAAAGAGCACCATTGTCCAAACGGAGCCATGGGCGTCGCTAGCCCCAAAGTAGCTACTTTCATAGGGAAATTTAGGGAAATATTATGATATTCCGTGATAATCCAATGGATTATATGGATTTAGAGGATACGATTCAATGATACTTTTTTTCTACAATAGTCAGACAAACCCATATGAGATGATATGAGTGCGTTTTTGGCCAACAGCTTGCTGCAATGTTTATGAAGTTCTTCTTGAAGGTCCCTGTATGCATCCTCATCCAGCCACAATGCATATTATCGCCTGGATAGGTTTGATGCATGTGTTTTTTTTGTAAAGCCTGGCAATGTCCATAACTTGGCTGAAGAACAGTGACTCTTTCCTTAGCAGTAGCGAACTGTTCACTTTACGCAACTCTGAAGGCTTCGGAGTGTCTGAGTGCTTCAGCTTGCTGGAGCTGTGGTGTTAGAATGTTAGAAAGAAAGCCTGGGTCAAAAAAAAAGGGAAAAAACAACTATATACACATTTCTGCAACTCCTCAAAAGGATGGCTCTTTTGGTACCAAAATAGTACCACTGGTATTCAATAAAACAATGTGTATCCTGATCATCTGCTACCAGGTCTGCTCAAGCTGCTCCGAGGCTGAAGAATGGCAGGACCTTTTGAAACTTCGAAGGCAACCGCTGCACCCCGCGGCTTGCACCAAAAGACCAGGGGGATCCTGTTAGCGCCCTGTCGGTGGTTCCCCATCCAAGCTGCTCAGCTCGGGATCGTCGGCATCTCTGTCTTAGGCGTGTTTTTTCTCTGCCTGGGCGCGAGGTGCTGATGAGATCCGCGTTGCCAGTGAGGGGAACAGGGATTTCGAAAAATCATCCCATAACGCGGTAAACCCAATTCATAACCCTCTACTTGGAATGGCCAAAAAAAAGCTGCCAATCTTTGAATAAGACTTTATGTTCAGGATATCCCAAACATTCAAACCACAGATGTTCCAACTGGTCCGGTGACCTCTTTCAAAGTGCTGTAGAGGACATAGGCTGCAAAGGCGGCGCATGAGGAGTTCACCTGGAAAAAGCGAGAAAAATGACAGAAAAATATTTAGGAAATAATGAAAAATTAATGATTATATATAATTAGTCATATTATAACTATATATTAAATAACATGTTTATTACTATCATTAAATATCATATGTATATATATATATATCTACACATATATCTACTGTACCATGTATATCATATATATATATATAACCTTTTTGTTGTTGATTTCCTACATCACAAAGATTTCGGAGAAGCTGATCCACTGCCAAACGTTGTCTTCGGCCTTGTCATCGCTGGTAAGGACCTGGTTGACCATGTACTCGCAATAGGAGGGGTCCTTGGAGAGAACCTGGGGCGGCCACATAGGATGGGTATTCTGCGTGGAATAAGTCGTAGGTGTTTTTTGCATGGGTCCCAGATTTGGGTTATTTTTTGGGATATGTTCATACTAGTAAGTTGTATATGGGTCGTATATTCTGGGTGATCTTGGTAAGTTATATATGGGTTATATATGGGTCGTATATGGGTTGTATATGATCACTTACTGTCTGGGATGCACATCCAAGTAGGGGTCGTGCAAGGCTGCAAGTGTCATGGAAAGGGAGAAGTTAGAATGGAACATCATTGGAATCCCAAAGATATAGCACTCAAATTGCTTCAAAATCCTTAAAAACGAGTTTCTGAGTTTCCCTGGAATGTCGCTGCGGCTTGAGGTCCCGTTGTTGAGATTAGCTGGGAACTGGGACTTGGAAAGCCAAGTACCCTTCACCACATGGTGAACTCGGGCTCTGGGAACAGCCCAATGACTCTTGGCTCCACCCCTCAGACCAACTCTATCCTCCACAGAAATAGATATTTCGCTTTTTGGGACGGGCGAAACATCACTTGAAATGATGAAAAATGGTAAACTAGGTGTGGTGATGTTATGAAAGTATACATACAAGTACATCACATCGCATTGCATTGTATCGCATTCCCTTCCATTCCATTGAATTGCATTCCCATCCAATTATGTTACATTACGTCTATCTATATATATATAATCATATATACACATATTCAATTAATTTGTCAGAATAAGTGACATACATTCTTGTACATGACAAAACAATACAAAACAAATAAAAACAAACATCTGAAGATCTAAACTTGGTTGGTTGAGCCACCCTTTATGCGAAAGTCGGGATCATGATCCTGGGGAAAAGAAAGTGTTGCCATCAGCTACTCTCTGGTAATTTGACATAGCTATTGATAGTTGACTATTTACCATAATATGGCTATTGATATTATAGTTTACCATTGTTGGTATGTTGGTGATGGTGTATTTACAGTCGATTTATGATGATTCTCCGATCACCAGTTCGCTATGTTATGTTAGTGAATATTTCCGCAAATACCTTCCAGCAATGGGTACCTGGCCAGGGGGACCTACCCTGCGGCGCCTCAGCAAAACTCAAGCCTTTGTGCCTGGCAGATTGATATCACGGTTTCTTAACAACATAAACATCAGATCATCTTAGATCATGGTAGATCATTAATTATAGATCATGATGGTTAGATCATTATAGATCATCGTTAATGTGGGAGACAGATTAGTGTGGGGATACACTATTGTGTCCACAAACCTCAAAATAATTGTGCAACCTTGGAAATGATCGAGGGGTACAGTTTTGTGTCCACAGGATTTTGGAGTAAGTTTTTTTCAGTTTTTTTATTTTATAATTTTTAAACTGTTTTAAATTATGTTCTACTTTTTTGTTTAATTATTTTAAATTGATAATTAATTAGCATTTAAAATATATAATATATATATTAAATATTTTTTTAATATATTCAATTTTTAATTTAACAAATTAACAAATTTAAACATTACATTTATATATATATATATATTAATATATATATTCAATTTTACAATTTTAAACATTATATTTATTTGTGTCAGGATACACTATTGTGTCTTGGTCTTGTGTCTGGGGTACACTATTGTGTCTTGGTCTTGTTTCTGTTCAAACATGTTTCATTTTTTTTAAAAAGTTTTTTTTACTTTTTGTTTCCCATCATTGAAATTTTCCAGATGCCTCCCACAGAAACATTAGATCCAGGTTCACAAAAGTATGGGGATACACTATTGTGTCCAGCTGCTTCCTGAGATGATTTTTTTTGAACCATTTCCTTTACCTTTTCCTTTGCTGCCTGTGCTAAAGTTTCCTTCCTTTTAATTAATTCCTTTCTTAGTTTCTTTCATGTGAAATTCTCAGAAATGCCAAATTTCCCAATATATATGATGCCTTATTAAAACCCAATTAAAAAACATCACTCAAACAATTTTTCAAGGGGGTAGTCCATGAGCAACCCTGATACACAATAGTATGGTTTGTTCGGGGGGTACACTATTGTGTCCAGCTGCTTCCTGAGGTGTTTTTCAACCATTTCCTTTACCTTTTCCTTTGCTGCCTTTGCTAAAGTTTTTTTCCTGTTAATTAATGCCTTTCTTAGTTTCTTCCATGTGAAATTCTCAGAAATGCCCCATTCCCCAAAATATATGATGCCTTGTTAAAACCCAATTAAAAAACATCACTCAAACAATTTTTCAAGGGGGTAGTGCATGAGCAACCCTGATACACAATAGTATGGTTTGTTTGGGGGGTACACTATTGTGTCCAGCTGCTTCCTGAGGTGTTTTTTTTCAACCATTCCTTTACCTTTTCCTTTGCTGCCTTTGCTAAAGTTTTTTTCCTGTTAATTAATTCCTTTCTTAGTTTCTTCCATTTGAAATTCTCAAAAATGACCCGTTTCCCAAAATATATGATGCCTTGTTAAAACCCAATTAAAAAACATCACTCAAACAATTTTTCAAGGGGGTAGTGCATGAGCAACCCTGATACACAATAGTATGGTTTGTTTGGGGGGTACACTATTGTGTCCAGCTGCTTCCTGAGGCGTTTTTTTTGCAACCATTTCCTTTACCTTTTCCTCTGCTGCCTTTGCTAAAGTTTTTTTTCCCTGTTAATTAATTCCTTTCTTAGTTTCTTTCATTTGAAATTTCCAGAAATGCCCAATTTCCCAAAATATATGATGCCTTATTAAAACCCAATTAAAAAACATCACTCAAACAATTTTTCAAGGGGTAGTCCATGAGCAACCCTGACACAATAGTATGGTTTGTTTGGGGGGTACACTATTGTGTCCAGCTGCTTCCTGAGGTGATTTTTTTCAACCATTTCCTTTACCTTTTCCTTTGCTGCCTTCGCTAAAGTTTCCTTCCTTTTAATTAATTCCTTTCTTAGTTTCTTTCATTTGAAATTCTCAGAAATGCCAAATTTCACAAAATATATGATGCCTTGTTAAAACCCAATTAAAAAACATCACTCAAACAATTTTTCAAGGGGGTAGTCCATGAGCAACCCTGATACACAATAGTATGGTTTGTTTGGGGGGTACACTATTGTGTCCAGCTGCTTCCTGAGGTGTTTTTCAACCATTTCCTTTACCTTTTCCTTTGCTGCCTTTGCTAAAGTTTTTTTCCTGTTAATTAATTCCTTTCTTAGTTTCTTCCATTTGAAATTCTCAGAAATGCCAAATTTCCCAAAATATATGATGCCTTGTTAAAACCCAATTAAAAAACATCACTCAAACAATTTTTCAAGGGGGTAGTGCATGAGCAACCCTGATACACAATAGTATGGTTTGTTTGGGGGGTACACTATTGTGTCCAGCTGCTTCCTGAGGTGTTTTTCAACCATTTCCTTTACCCTTTCCTTTGCTGCCTTTGCTAAAGTTTTTTCCCTGTTAATTAATTCCTTTCTTAGTTTCTTCCATTTGAAATTCTCAGAAATGCCCCGTTTCCCAAAATATTTGATGCCTTGTTAAAACACAATTTAAAAACATCACTCAAACAATTTTTCAAGGGGGTAGTGCGTGAGCAACCCTGATACACAATAGTATGGTTTGTTCGGGGGGTACACTATTGTGTCCAGCTGCTTCCTGAGGTGATTTTTTCAACCATTTCCTTTACCTTTTCCTTCGCTGCCTTTGCTAAAGTTTCCTTCCTTTTAATTAATTCCTTTTGTGAAATCACAGCAGTAGCAGCACTGAACGCTGCTTGTTTTGACCTGAGCGCCCCTCGAGCCAGATGGCTCTGTCGTTAATCATACCTGACAGCCAGTGCAATGGAGTTTGTCCTCAGTGCACGTTTGAACGTTCCTGGCACGACATGTTGGAAGCAAGTGACCTACGTTTCACAGCTGGAGTACTTTTCTTGTTGCTTCCAATCAATGACATCACACCGGTTTCCAAAAGTTCAAACAAAGGTGTCGTGTTGCCAGAACGTTTGGTTAACGCATCTACGACCATGCTTGGGTGTGGAACCCATCTGATCTGTGTGCCGGTTTCTGCTAATGCCTGTCTGATCACTTGCATCTCCAACGCCGTACGTTTATCGCTCGTTGTTCCAACAGTCTCTTTACTCAAGTGATCAAACAGAGATTTCGCGTCTACAATGCCTACGCCGGTTTTCAATTCCTCACAGGTCTCATCGCTCATCACTGCGCTGAGTCTTCTCTGCTTAGCGCTCTCTTCCCAGTCTTTCAAACGAAAATCCCTTGACATGAACTCATTGAACACTGTGACAGTCCAACTCAGCTCTGCCAGACCTCTTGAAAAAGACTGAGTTTCTGCAGCCAAAGTAGAGTTAACGACTCTATGTATCTTTCCACTCCGCCAATGCATGAGATTGCAAACGCCTTGGCCATGATGTAACATGTCTTGATGGTATGCAATGACTGCAAAAGCGCCCTGTGATTTTCCTTTTGCTGCATTGGCGTAGCTGGCATCTGTGACTACTCCCCAGCACAAGTCTTGGATGGGGATTCCTTGGATTCTGATCTTGAGACTGGCAGCTGCTTTGACACTTCGGATGCATTTGTTCAGATCCACTATGTCCTGAACCTTCAAGCCACTCAAACTGGACGCGACCAAGCTGGCTACCGCAGCGGCATCTGGCCTGCCCTCCTTGGCAGCCCACGTCAAACTTCCGACTGCCGCTCTCGTTTCGTCCTTCTCTTTTTCTGTTGCATCATCTTGCGTCTGACTTGCCCTACCATGTTCCAGCTTCACTTCATGCATCCTTTCAGTGACAAATTTCTCCATGTCAATCTCGAAATCAAAATTCTCCCTCTGAAAAATGCGCCTACCGTTGAACGCTGCTCCCTGTTCCTCCTCTCTAAGATGCACAAACTTGCCAAACTGAAACCTCTCTCTCAGCTGTGACATCACTTGGAAAAACTGGGATGATCCAACTGCAAAAAGATCATCTACTTCTACCACCAAAAGCCCTGCCAGTATCCCACCTTGATACCACCTGAACACGCATGGATCCAATGCTGATTGCTGAAATTGAAGACTGTGCAAGGCCCTCTTCAGACTCTTCCTCCAGTGTGCTGGGGCATCGCCTAGGCCATAGGCCCCGGCAAGCACTTCGATCAGTTGCTTGGGGCTCATTCCGGCCAAGCCTCCCTTGGGTTGCCTGCAGAAGAGCCTCCCTTGAGGCCTGTGCAATGTGTCTGATTGCATAAACGCATTCCTCAAATCACCAATTGCAGCATTCCATTTCATGCTGGCCGCGATCTGCAGCACCACTGACAGCGTTGCCGTTGTGACCGTAGGAGCATGACGGATCAAGTCCAGCAAGTCTGGATCCTTGTCCCCTCGTATGCACCACCGCGACTTGCGGCTGGGTGGAACTCCTGGCTGTTCCGATGGTTTCCATCTCCTTACAATCCTGGAGGGTAAGATCCTCTGACTCAGCTGTGCCTCAGCTAGTTGATGCTCTACCTCCAGTGACTCCTCTTCTGAAAGAACTTTCACCGCTCCAGTCGCCTCCACCTTGCTCCATTCTGCCGCGTCTGCAATCTTCCAGCCCTCCCATTCTTCGGGAGTTATCTCTTCTTCTCTCACCTCATCTGAACCTCTTTTGACCATGTAGACCAACTCTGGTGGAGTTCTCCTCAACTTGAACTCGGTGTATCCTACCCACCATCTCTGTGGTCCAACCTCCTTAGCACCGGCACTCTCGCCAATGGTGCTCCTCCAGTTCTCTTTGATGATTCTTGTGCTTCCATCTCCATAGCGCCTCACTGTCTTCCTTTCGGATGTGAGGTGTTTGGGATGCACTGGACATCCTCGTGACAAGCTTGGAGTGAACCGCACGGCGCGTTCTTGCCGATGGTGTCGTATGATGACTCCTCTCGCTTCATCGAAGACCCACAGGTCTTGGTCTCCTGCCTCATCGTCTTCCTCCTCCGCTTGCTCTTCTGGCGCCACTCCTCCTCTGTAAGGGCCCCATCTAGTAGTTGCCTTGGTCTCTCGACCGCGTCTGAGGGGTCCAAATTGAGTCTTCTGAGATGCAGGTATGCCAAACTGTGCATCGGCTGGACGATGACGGAGTGTTCCGTCTAGCATTTCGC